GACCCAGGGTCGCAGGGACAAGCAGATCAATGTGACTGGGTGATGATACAAAATCCCGCAAACACCGTCACTGCAATCATGTATGTCAGGCCTACCTTATACAAGAACAAAAGAAGAACAGGTCTAGCGATCACATTAACATGACAACATGCAAGGCAGTTAACTTAATGTTGATGTAGGCTCTCCAAGAAGTTCAAGTGTTTTTCTAGGTTGACGTGGACACGTATCATCATCGCGCCAATATCACTGATACAAACAGCCATGTTGCGGTCACATCAAAATACAGGTAAAATACATAAATCGAATCAGCACGGAACCACTCTTCATGCACTCAGTCGTAGCCTCTCAAGCTCGGCCTTTTCTCCTTCAACGATGCCCTACCCAGCGATAACTCTGTCCGCCCTTTCACAGCTAGTAGCCTCGGTAATGTGTCTCTACAATATGTCTCTCCACAAAGTGACTTCTCCAACCGCCAAACCTTCTCACCTCACTCTCACAATCTCTCACGAAACATCTGTCGTGTTTTTTCATGTCGGCATGCCACACCACACTGTCGCGCCTCAGACAGACCCTGCATTTCTCACAACCGACTGGAAACTCATGTTGATGACGTTCCAGCTGGTAGCGGCTGGGGAACCATTGATTACAGACGGTGCATTGTTCGCGGTCGAGGTTTGGCTGGGCTGAAAAAGAGTATGCGCCCGTAGATGGGTTGACTGAGAATTCTGCCATCGAGAGAGCATGGGTCTCGCTCGAAGTCTCAAGAACTTGGACGACGGACTGTGCGAGGCCGTTCGATTGTGCATTGGATATGTAGCCGTTGCCATGATTCGAGTAGCGTACCAGAGCCTTGCCAGGGTCATAACGTGCGAGTAGATTGTCGTCGTCTGGAAAATGAGCATGGCGATGACGAGTGCGGGTGCCGATGTGACGATTTCCGCTGCTGGCAGAATCACTGTTGTAGGCGTATGCTCGTGTAGTAGAGCGGTGTCGCGCGCATCGGGTTCCAGTGCCTCTATGCCAGTCGTCGCATGTGCACAGCGGCATGTTGGGTCGACTTGTTATGTGGAAGGCTAGGTCAGAAAGGAGGTGATTTCGGGCAGCGAAACTATATCACTATACAGCCTTTTGAAAAATTTACAAACCACCAGGCTGCATATGCGAGTGGTCTTGATGGCGTGCAGGTTCACCGGATGAGACGGGCCCAATCGCAGTCGGGACGGCAGAGAAGAGCCAATGGATGAGAAGAAAAAAATGCATATCGACAGTGAGACAGTAGAGATAGACGGTCTTCTCACCGGTTTGCGAAGAGATGAGATCAGGCAACGTGGCTGCTGATTTTGTAGTCCAGCCTTGCGCGATGTCGAGATATGGCTAATGTGTTAGCGGTAAAAAGCTTCAAGGACTATAGACAGCAGCAGCGTAGTTGTATGAGTAACAGAAGCAGAATTAAAAACCTCGGACATTGGGAACCAGTCTAAGCTATGATTAGACGATGTCGTCTTTTGTTGATGGTGGACTGTGTTGTTTCCCTGAGAGGAGCGATGTTAATTCCTGGGATGTCGTACATGCCCTAGTTCTGCCCGATTGCGATCTTCTCCACAGAGATGATAAACAGAAACTGTCGTTGGAGCATGAAGTTGCGGTGCTCTCCTACCTAGGTAGCAACCTTGGGAGATTGTAGAGGAAGGTGTAGGCACGTGCCCAGGCGACGAGCAAGTGAGCGTGGCGCTAGCGGGGAAGTTCTTGGCGCTCTACGAATTTCAAGATATGGAGCTCTAGCTACGCGACCAACTTTGGCAACTCCGCGCAAAACACTGAACGATACCCGGGCTCGCAGCGAATCTCTTAAACCGCTTTCTCAACATAATACACACCACAGACTACCGCCAACATGAGGTTAACAACAGACCTCATCAACAATTCCCTGTCCTTCATCAACTGTCTCACGGAGCGTGAACTCGATCTGCGAGGTGCGTTGAAAAGAGCAGATGCTACACTTGAGAGCTGAGTTGATATCAATATCGTATAATCTAGGTCACAAGATTTCCGCGATTGAGAACATGGGAGCAGCGCGAGTGAGTTGCATCATTGCTCCGAACATAAACCGCCATATTGACAAGGTGACAGGACAACGACGCCATAGATCTCACCGACAACGACATCGCACAGCTCGGCAACTTCCCGCTCCAACCCCGTCTCCGAACGCTCTTCCTCGCGCAAAACCGCATCTCCAACATCCAACCCAACCTTTCGTCGAGCATACCGAACCTGCGCACACTAGTCCTTACCAAGAACAGAATCGCAGAGCTGGCCGACTTGGATCCGCTGGCGGGTTTCAAGCACCTGGTGTACCTGTCATTGATGGGAAACCCAGTCACAAGCAAAGAGGTATGTGTCTGACCTTGCTGAGCCATGAACGTTTGAGCCTAATGGTGCAAGCAAACTTGAGCCTGGGGATCGGAAACGGTGCAGGGTGAGCCACTCGTTGCGATTTGGCCGGCTCAGGATCGCATGATGGAGGCTATTATGCGCAGCATGCTAACATCACATAGAACTACCGGTATTGGGTCATCTGGCGCTGTCCGACTGTGCGCTTCCTAGATTTCAGCAAGGTGCGGGATATTGAGCGAAAGAAGGCCAAGGAACTGTTCGGAACTGTCGAGGAACCTACAGAACTTGCAAACCAGGTGTGTATCACGACCGTCTCCAAGTTTTATCTGACTGACTCTCCCAGATCTCGAGCAACAAGTCCAAGGGCTTTGTCGTCCCCTCGTACGCGAACGGTGCCGATTCGGGCAAAGAGCGCATCTACACCGACGAAGAGAAGAAGCGCATGCGCGCTGCCATCCTCAACGCAAGCAGCTTGGCCGAGATGGCGAGGCTGGAGAAAGACTTTGCGGAAGGTCGGATACCAGCACATATCCTCGAAGGAGGAGAACCCATGGAGACATAGACGCTGTGTTGTCCGGAAATCTTGATGAGGATTAAAACGCACGCACGGTATGGGTAGCACATATCACGACTGTGCAAAGCGCTGCGCGTGCACGAGCAAGAGGCAGCACGCAAGCACAGTATCGCACGGGAGGATTCTGCACGCACTGCATGAGGCTTCGAAGGAACGCGCCAACGTGCAATGGTTATAGGGAAGGCCTGGTGATACCACAATAGTGATCAGAGCATGGCACCGAAGCGCTTGAGTCGGAAGTAGATTGATCTGTAAGAATTGAAACAGACTGCTTTGCGCCAGAAGGCGTTTCCCACCCATGGTATCGTAGTAATATACTCAGAACGCCGTGATGCCGTGTACCATCGTATCTCGAGCCTACATTGTCCTGCCGTCCAGACGAGACATGTCCTGACAACTTTCTTGTTACCACCCTCTTCCCCTGCCACCGCGTCCCCCTCTGCCCCCACCGCCTTGATGACCCTGCTGGAAACCTCCGCCTTGCTGACCTCCAGGCCCACCGGGGAAGCCACCCATGCCCTGACCTGCCATCTGCATAAAGGACGCAAAGTCCATCTGACTGGGATCCATGCCTTGCTGCATCATCTCTTGCATCATCATCTGCATTTGCTGTTCGTTCATGCCTCCAGGTCCCATAGCACCGCCGCCGCCACCGCCACCGCCACCTCCTCCTCCTGGGCCTGTCGGCGGCGCACCACCTGGCCCCCCATTGCCCTGCGGACCACCGCCCATGCCAGGCATTCCGGGCATACCAGGCATCGGCGCACCGCCCATCATGGCCTGCATTTGTGCCATGTCGTTCTTCTGACCCTGCAGCGTGTTGGCCATACTGACTTGTCTTTGGCGATACAACTCCCACGTGAATTCGTCGAAGCCGTAGTTGAAGTAGTCTGACTGGTCTTCACCGGGTCGACGCCAGATCTTCTGCTCTTCCGCTAAATCGGCATCGATGTCTACGCTGAGAATCTCTTTGCCTTGTGGAGGGTAGACGGGGTTCCCGTTGACATCGATAGTTGAGGTGCGTTGCGCGGGGAAGGCGGTGCCCGAGAGGGCTGAGGCGGACAGTTGAGGGACAGTGCCGCCGGTTGTGGGAACGGTCTTTGGGGGTACTTGTTGCGAGGGCGTGGTCGAAGAGGTGGGTGGTGCTTCGATCTTTATGGCTTTGGATTCTTGGGGTGCTTGCGCGCTGGACCGGCGTGTCAGTAGCTGTAGTGATGGCAAGAATCTGAGGCTCGGAGCTCAATAGAAGCTTACGCTGTGGGTTTGGCGGGTGCTGGCGCCTTCTCGATGATGATGTCGATGTCCTACAGCTTCGTTAGAACTGGCGCGAGCTCTTTGTGGGCTTTTTGTGCGGCATACCGAGTCGCTGTCTTCTTCATCGCCCGACTCTTCGTCCATTGGCTCATCACCACTGGAGTTGTCCTCCTCTTTCTTTGCATCGTTGGTCTGTTGCGCGGCTGTCTCGTCGCCATAGAGATCGTCGTCGGATTCGTCTGCCATGGTGTCGTTCTTTCCGGTCCACCAGCTAAATGGCGCGCCCGTAGTAAGTGAGCCCTCCCAAGGGATTACTGTGTATCCAACTCCTTCTAGTGCCTGCACAATTGCTCGCGCTCGCGCAAGCCTCTGTTTCGTCTTTTTGCGGGTGTTTGGGTTGCCACGAAATTCGCGTGTGGGATCCGCTTGCTATACGGCTTTTGTAGTGACGAAGCCTCTGGTAGTGAACGTGAGCTTCTTTGAGTTGCTGGTTGAGGGAATGATTAGCCGAGTAGACTGCACGCGTTTGGGCCTGTGCTGTTGCTGGCGCGCCGCCAAACAGACGCAGGCATTGTCCTTCACATACCGACCCATCTTCTGCACTGTCAACCACGCGCATTTCCACGCGTCGTGTTCTTCAACGCTCGCTATAACCTCCTCAAGTCTCTCAGCTTGAGAAAGTGGAGCTACGCCGCGACTTTGCACCTGCGAAGCCATCGTGAACGATCGCAAACAGACGACGAGTTAGACGCAGAATAACGAAGGAGACGGGAACAAAATGGCGGGCTTTGGGCGATCAAACTCGCTGAGTATCAATACTGGCGGTGGTGGTGGTCTCTTGTACGTCTTCCCACATTCTGTACCAAGCGCTCTCTTGGGTAGCAGCCTCTGCTACTACCATTCCGAGTGCATGCGATGCAGCCCACACAGCAACTACGACTGCTCGATGCATTAGACTGACGATACCAGTGGCAACAATGCAAACCAAGGCCAGCAGGCCAGCCAGCCCCAGAGCAGCGGCGGGCTCTTTGGGTCTGCCCAACAACCGCAACAAGCACAGTCGGGCTCGCTCTTCGGCGGTCAGGCTCAGCCTCAGACTTCGCAGCCTACAAGTGGAGGCCTGTTTGGCAACCTGAACAAGCCTGCGACAACGGCGCCTACGAGCGGAGGCCTCTTCGGCGGCGCATTAGGCGGAACCGCACAGGGCCAGCCCCAAAGCACACCCCAATCCGGTGGCCTCTTCGGCGGCGCTCAGTCAAAGCCATCACTGTTGTAAGTGCCCATGGCTGCTCGCGGTGACACAAGCTAACTGAAAGTCCTAGCGCCTCGTCCACACAGCAGACAACAACACCCTCCTTGTTCGGGAACAACGCCTCCACCCAGCAAAATCAAACATCGGCCCCTTCGCTCTTCGGTTCGACTCAACAGCAAGCTCAGCCCCAGCAGCAGAATACTTTGTTCGGTGGCAGCATGAACACACAGAACAGGTCGAATACGCTCGGTGGCTCTACTCTGGGAGGAAATCAGATGAATTCAAGCGCACAGCCCGTTCAGATGACCCTCGACTCGATACGAGGAACCACGCGTTTCAACGACCTGCACCCCGAACTGCAAAACATCATCCAGCAGTTCGACGAGGGCATCCAGCGCAAGGTCAACTTCTGTAGTCAGATTCGCGAGGCCCTCCCTGGCAGCGAGAAAGAGATTGACACCATCGCGCCTGACGTGGCCTACATCGAGACGTTCCTTTCCACCGTTGAAGTCGGCCTGGACAACGATTCCGCCAACATTGCGCACCTGAAAAGTCTCGTTAAGAAGGATGCCGACGACGCGACCCTCAGCTTCCGTGCCATTGAGAACCAGCGACTACCGGCGCAGTTCCACTACCGCAACAACGCCAACCTCACAGCGTCAAGCGCAAAGACTCCTGCGGCCAGTGCTCTGGACGATGACGATCCGACCAAGCCTGTCGACCTCATGGGTTACTTCAACCGCCGCACCGATGAGCTCGGCCGTACTCTAGACGTTTACCAGCGCCAGATTCGCGAGATCGAGACCCACCTGCGAACGATGGAGGCCGGCACCGTGGAGAAGGCTCAGCAATTGACCGGCAGTCGAAGCGCACCACGCGATCAGCGTCGTGAGCTGGTCGAAGCGCTCAAAGCCATTGAGGGTGCCATTCTCGACTCGGCGAAGAAGGTGGGACAGGTCAGGGACGAAGTAACGAAGCAGACGTTGGGAAATGTCGGTGCCGCCCTGCTCTAAAGCGCATCAAGGAACAATAATCTGTCCTCGGAGTTTGTAGCATTGAGATTTTGGGAAGGTCGCTTTGTTAAACATGGCTCAGGCGCAACGATTTCCTGGACGGCATCCTACACATGTACATATTTGGACGAACTTGCAAAAGCACTAGATACCCCCGAATTCTGGGTCTTCCTCCCTATGTGATTGTTTATTCCATATCCCGAGCCTTTCTGAATGTCTTGGTGACCCTACACTGTGATTGCTCATACTATAGTAACGCGGAATTCCATCGCGAAGCGCTTTGTCACGCCAAACGTTAGTCAAGCTTTTCAATGCTGAGTAAAGTCCACTCTTGGAACACGCGCCCCACCAGATCGGGACCAGAGGAAGCTATGACGTCTCCACCATCGTCCAGCTGCTTGCTTTCAATGACAGCTATATAGCCGCAACGCATCTCTGGAAGTTTATATCGCTATTCTATGTTCTCACGCGCTTTGCGACTCAGCACAATTACAAAGTGTTCTGCAATCTCAATAAGATATACTCGGTCATTCTCCACTACTTCAAGTCGCGCAGCCATGGACAAAGCACCACAACAAGATGGCAAGGATGGAAAGGGATCTATCCTTGACTGGGTAAGTGATACTGAAGTTGTTAGCCAGCTTTACAGTCAAATTCAGTGGATGTTGGGTTTTGCACCAGCATACTGACTACAGAATAAGGTCAAACCCGGTGACAAGAGCGGCGAGTTCAAGCGCCAAACATCCGTCTTCAGAAACTGGATCCAGAACAAGCCCGATGCCGAATTCCCACCCGAGAAAGGTCGCTACCATCTCTATGTCTCCCATGCCTGTCCCTGGGCGCACCGCACACTCATCGTGCGCCACCTAAAGGGCCTCGAGGACATCATCTCCTACAACAGCGTCCACTGGCACATGGCGGAGAAGGGCTGGCGGTTCGCAGCTTCCGATGAGAAAGTCTCTGGTAACACCACACCGGATCCGCTTCATGAAGGATACACGCATCTACGCGACATCTACTTTGAGCAGAACCCAGACTACGAAGGTCGCTTCACGGTGCCGACGCTGTACGACAAGAAGACCAACAAGATTGTCAGCAATGAGAGTGCGGAGATCATAAGGATGCTTTACACCGAATTCGACGATCTCGTCGAGGAGAAGTACAGGAAGGTGGATTTATTCCCCAAGGACTTCCAGAAGGACATCGAGGCCATGAACGACTGGGTGTACAACGATGTGAACAACGGTGTTTACAAGTCGGGATTCGCTACGTAGGTTACTCTGAATCACTCACATGATGTTGAGCAGGATTGACTAACGAGACCGCAGCACTGAGGAGGCATACACAAAGGCCGTGACGCAGCTTTTCAAGTCTCTTGATCGGTTGGAAGAGTCCATGGCCCAGTCTTCCACGCCATATCTACTGTCAAGCCCGCACGTAACGGAAGCCGATGTCCGCCTTTTCACCACGATCATCCGCTTCGATCCTGTGTACGTTCAGCACTTCAAGTGCAATATCCGCGATATCAGATCGGGATACCCGCACCTTCACAAGTGGATGCGCCATCTGTACTGGGTACGTTATCCCCTTTTTCAATGATCGTTATGGACTTCTGCTAACACGAATGGAACAGGACTACCCCGCTTTCAAAGAAACCACAGACTTTGAGCACATCAAGAAGCATTACACCAAGAGCCATGGCCAAATCAACAAGTTCCAGATTACGCCTATTGGGCCTTTGCCGGATATTTTCGAGAAGGACGACGAAGTGCCCAGTGTCAAGGCCGCGAAGAAGTAGTTTACGTAGTTGACATGTAATGATATTCTTCCTCTGAAGATCATGTATCTACTGTTTCAGAGCTAGTACCATGCTCGCCGCAGCCAGAGCACCCATCAGGCCTACAGCCAGTATGACAGCAGCGAATGGCATGAGCGGCGGACGCATGCTCTTCGACTTCATATTTTTGACTTCCGTCTCTAGTCGTTCAGCCAGCTTCTCTTTCGAGAATTCAGCGATGACTCTTTCCCTACCCCACTTGCCCATCTCTCTGAGCCGTTCTTCGCCCTCGCCATCTTCGAGCGCAATGCGCATGACTTCGGTCCAGTCCTGCACTTTGGTGACGTCTCGCAGCCACCCCGTCTGCCCGCTTATAACTGTCTCGGTAGGCCCGCCCTCGTTGGCAGCTAGGACCGGTGTGCCTACTAGCATTGCTTCGAGTGGTACGATGCCGAAGTGTTCATGTAGTGGGGTGTATACGAGGAGGCGCGAGGTAGATAGTAGCGTGGCCTTGAAGGCATTCGGGACGGAATGGAGGAAGAGAACCGAGATGTCGTCGGGCATGGCCTGGGCGGTGATGACAGTCTTAGCAGTCGCGTGCTTCAGCTTGAGAGAGTCTGCGAGTTCACATAGCTCGGTGTATGTAGAGACGTTCTCGGCCACCCTGGGGTCATATCCACCTGCAATTACAAGCCGCGCATCCTCGCGTTCTTTTGGCGACAACCCCGCAAATGCTCTGATGGCAAGCGCTACATCCTTCTTCTTCTCGAAACGGTTGATGCTGAGGAGCACCTTCTTGTTCTTCCACAGCGGGGTAACCTCCTCGACCGACCCGCCTGCGTTGATGTCTACGCAGGGATATACAACGCCCGGCTCACGATGTTTCAGGGTGGGGAAAGCCTCGCTAAAGATGCTCTTGGTGAAGTTGCTGTTGACGACAATGGTGTCGCTGCACCCTGTACTCCAGCTCTCCAGCCAGTCAAAGGGTCCACGGTACAACGTCTTTAGTAGGCCACCCTTCTTCGCAAGTAGCTTGTCGGGGAAGTGGCAGTAGAAGATGACGCGCGGGCGTGGTTGGAGGAATCGCAGGAGCGGGATGCCGGCGCTGAGCTGGTCGACGAAGAACGAGGAAGGCGCGAGCTTGGGGAGCTCTTCGGTAAACAGGGCGATCTGGAGTATCAAGTGCACCTGGCGCAGGATGGCGCAGAGGATGGCGAAGCGGCCGAAGAAGGCGGCGGGGACGAGGGAGTTGCCGCGCACGCGCACGTCGAGGGTTCCTTTGGATCGCGTCAGGTCTCAGCTGCGAGGCCAGGCAGAAGCGATGCGTGGTTCCGGGGTGCTGAGTAGAGGCTTACCATCGCGCGCCTCATCGAAGCAGTGGGCCGGGTCGCAGTGCGATGTGAAGATGGTCACCTTGTGCCCGCGGTTCTGCAGGCCAACCGCGGCATCGATGACCAAGCGCTCCGCCCCGCCGATGCCCAGGTCGGGGTGGAAGAAGACGACATGCTCTTTCGTGTCCGCCATGCAGGTCGTGTGTTCGCAGAGAGACGACAATTACGTGTTGCCAGGCGCGGCATGGGACCGAGTGGGCTGCGGGACACCTTTCCGCTTTGGGATTAGTGCCGAGGCGAGCGCGACAGGTGAAAGATGACCTGGGATGCTGCACCTGACGCGCCCGACGTACATCTCGACAATACCCAGGTGCGTGTTCGGTTTCGTCTGACACAACATCATCTAGCAGTGAATACAGCTTCAACAGCTGCGGCGTGAGATCTGCATCGCCCCTTCCAACATGTTCGTCGCGGCGCCTTGATATAGCTCCACACCCTGGCACCACAACCACGCTCGCACATCAACCACCATCATGGGTCAGGGCTTCTCCCTCACTACGCTTTCGGCTGGCTCGGCCAACATCGACGTGCCCGAGCTGGCTGATCTGCAATATGAGAAATCACTCGGAGCGGCGCGTTTTATGAAAGCCGTGCGCGCCCGCCACAAGGACGGTCTTGTTGTAGCCCGAGTGGTGATGAAGCCTTACGCTCAGTTCGACTTCCAAGAACACGTCAAACGGCTACTCCGTGAGTTTAACAAAGTCACTATTCTCCACACGTAGGACTGACTGACTGTTCCAAGATGAACGCAAAGTGCTCGCTGATGTGCCCAACGCCGTTGCATACCACCGCGTGATCGAGACGGCAGCTTGCGGTTATCTCGTGCGCCAGTATATTCACAGTTCTTTGTACGATCGTTTGAGGTATAATCTGACACTTCACTACCTACACCAATACACTAACGTCTTACAGCACACGTCCATTCTTGGAAGAGATTGAGAAGAAATGGCTTTCTTTTCAGCTCCTTTGCGCCGTGCGAGACTGCCACGCGCGGAACATCTATCATGGTGACATCAAGACCGAAAACGTTCTTGTCACGTCCTGGAACTGGCTGTATCTTGCAGACTTCTCATCATCATACAAGCCAGCACATCTACCCGAAGACAACCCTGCCGACTTCTCCTTCTACTTCGACCTTTCCGGTCGCCGCACTTGCTACCTTGCACCGGAGAGATTCCTAGCTGCTGGACAGCAACCCGAAGGCGAGGGCGATGTCAACTGGGCCATGGATGTTTTCAGTGTCGGCTGCGTCATCGCTGAACTATTCCTGGAAGCCCCCATCTTCTCTCTCAGTCAACTGTTCAAGTACCGACAAGGCGAATACAATCCCGAGCATTCTCATCTCAGCAAGATCCAGGATAGCAGCATACGCGAGTTGATATTACACATGATACAAGTGGATCCCAATTCTCGGATGACTGCCGAAGACTACCTGACACATTGGAAAGGCAAGGTGTTCCCGACTTACTTTTACGGCTTTCTACAACAGTATATGTACTCCATTACCGACCCATCGTCAGGGCGCAAGCCAGTAACCACCGGATCAGAACACCTTGGCGAGCCTGATGAGCGCATAGACCAGATATATAGCGACTACGACAAGATTTCTCACTTGTTGTCCAACGAGGAAGGAAAGGAACTCATCAAACCCGAATTCACCCCTCCAAGACCGCATGCCAAGCTCTTCCCGCTCTTCGTCAACATACCAAATTATCAGCACCAAGCCTCTCCCGCGCGGAGTCTGGCTATCGATGACGGTAATTTGGTTTTTCTAACCATCGTCGTATCTTGTCTGCGAGGAACAGCTAGATCCTCCGCTCGTGTCCGAGGCCTGGAGTTGCTCCTGGCATTCTCCGAACGCTTAACGGATGAAGCAAAGCTGGACCGTGTGATTCCCTACGTCGCTCAATTGCTAGTCGACAAGTCTGAACAGGTCAAGATTGCTGCGTTGCGCACCTTGACACAGATACTCGCCATGGTTCAGGTTGTATCTCCTATCAACGCCTACATCTTCCCGGAATATGTCTTACCCCGTCTAGAGGCATACCTCCCTGACTCTTCTACCAACGTTGGTCCCCTTGTTCGAATGCAGTATGCGTTTTGTATCGGTACTCTAGCAACCACTGCAGCTAGGTATCTGGATATGATCCAGGCTCTGCGCGCAGAGGGGTCGTTACCCAATGCAGATCCCGAAACCGAAGACGACATGTCTTCATCCGCCCACCGGAACCAGTTCGATTCGGATCGTCGCATCCTTGTGGAAGCCTTTGAGAAACACACGAAAGCCCTTCTTACCGATGGCGATGCCTCTGTCCGTCGAGCCATGCTACGTTCTGTCTCTGACTTGTGTGTTTTTTTTGGAAGCCCACGGGCCAACGACGTCGTTCTTAGTCATCTTAACACGTACCTGAACGACCCAGATTGGATGCTCAAGTGTGCCTTCTTTGAAGGTATCGTCGGCGTTGCCGTTTTTGTTGGCGGTGCTAGCTTGGAAGGTTACATTCTACCGCTCATGGTTCAGGCCCTAACAGATCCGGAAGAGTTTGTGGTGGAAAAGACCATTAGAGCGCTTTCATCTATGGCAGAGCTTGGTCTATTTCAGCGGTCCAAGACATGGGAACTGGTGGATATACTTGCACGCCTCACAATGCATCCTAACTTATGGATTCGAGAGGCAGCCGCACAGTTTATCTCAGCTGCTTCCCGATATCTTTCGGTCGCCGATACGCACAGCATTCTGGTCAATCTCATTCGACCTTACCTTAAAGTCATACCCTCTGAGTTCTCTGAAGTACGGATTTTGGAGTCGTTAAAGCCACCCATGTCACGGTTGCTTTTAGATATGACCTCGAACTGGGCGCTGCAGGCTCAGAAGGGTCAATTTTGGGTTGCAGCCAGGCAGCAGCAGACCTTCACCTTTGGGTCATCAGAGGATAGCTTACCTACAATCTCTGGGCGCGAACTAGACCAAAAGATACTACAGCGGCTACCAAAAAACGAAGAGGACGACCTATGGTTACGAAAACTCCGCAACGCCGGTATGACAGCAGAAGACGATTTCAAGCTTGTTGCTCTACGGGAGTTCATTTGGAGAGTGAGCAATCGCCGACGCTCTGATGGTCTCGCCGCTCCGACCACCAAGTTCAACAGCGTTGTCGTACTGAATGACCTTGGTATTAAGGCTCAGACAGTGCTCTTTGATGAAGACGTCCGTCAGGTCATGGAACAAACTAGGAAACCCAGCGCTCCAGAGGAGCACATTCAACCTCGAACGATCAAGGACGCTCTGCTGGATGCATCAACTACGGAGGCTAATGGGCTAGCCGAGCATTTTGAAAGTCAAGCTGGGCGACTGATACGCGAAGAGAGGGGTATCACGATCCCATTGCGATCGAAAATGTCTTCTTCCAACGAGGTACATTCCAACATTGGCTCACCACCTTCCGAGACAGACATGCGGAGAAGGTCATTGCAGATCACGCGGCCATCTCTTTCTCCATCCAATTCCGTCGGCTCAACAGATTTATCCAGCAGCCTTCGCCATCGTAGTAGTGCTTTGGGACTGCTCGGCAAAGGAGAAAACAAAGCCTTGGCTGAGATTGGTACCACATCTGCCAACGCGTTCGGGAAGGTCGACGGTACTCATGTTCGAGACTCCTCTCGATCGCGACCTCCCAACTCCCCTCTCGCTACAGAACGGTACGACCGTAGTCCAATGAGAGTTCGATTCAGGAATGCACATAACTATACAGGTAACGATCCGGCGATTCTCAAGCTATTAGACTCCATGCTTCTTGAGCGCTTCCCTACGGATGAGATCGAGTTTGGCCCTCGCATACAATCTCCAATTAGGCGGCAGCCCATCAGGTACAAAGACGCTCATCAGTCGCCAGCCGGCATACCGTGGAGACCGGAAGGCACTTTGGTGGCGAGCTTTGGCGAGCATACTGCTGCAGTGACGCGCATCTTGGTCTCGCCTGACCAAGCTTTCTTCATCAGTGGGTCAGACGACGGGACTGTGAAGATTTGGGATACGTCACGTCTCGAGCGCAACATTACCCGGAGATCACGACAGACTTACAGACTGGGTGAGGATGTCAAGGTCACGAGTCTGGTTTTTGTGGAACAGACTTACTCGTTTGTCGCAACGGGTGATGATGGTAGTGTACATGTGGTCCGCGTGGACTACATCCAGAGTCATGATGGAAGTGCCAAGTTCGGGCGTCCTCGACTTCTTCGCGAATATCAACTTCCTAAGGGCGACTGTGCAGTGTGGTCGGAACACTACAATGGAGACAACAGATCGGTCCTTTTGTTAGCTACTGATACCTCAAAGGTCATTGCGCTGGATCTCAGGACAATGGAGCTGCTGTACACGCTTAACAATCCTTTGGACCACGGCACCCCTACGTGCTTCTGCGTTGATAAGAGAGCGCATTGGCTGCTGCTAGGAACTTCACATGGCGTCCTCGATCTCTGGGATCTTCGGTTCAAGCTTCGCCTCAAGGCTTGGGTATTCCACGGTGCTTCGCCGATACACCGCCTCCGTCAGGTCTTCTTCCCCAAGTTGAAGAAGACCCGATTGTATATCAGCGGTGGCAGCGATCAGGGTGAGGTCACTGTGTGGGACTTCGAGAAGCACATCTGCAAAGAAGTCTATCGTACGGGACTGTGCAAAGATACTGGAACCAAGAGCACCACCCTCATCGACCTGGACGAGGAGAAAGCTGGTGGTATGCTTGGCCGCTTTTCAACCAGCGTCGAACCGACGGCTAGCTCGACGGCGGACCGCGGCATTCGAGCACTAGCCATATGCACACAGGCAACGGACGAGAAAGGCGAGTCGAAACACACATTTCTTCTCACAGCAGGGCCCGACTGGAAAGTCCGCTACTGGGACACCAATCGGCCAGAATCATCGACAGTGGTGAGTGGCCTAGAGCCCGATGAAGGTAAACCAGCATATACCGCATCGCAGCCGAGTCCAGATACCATCGTCATTACGGAGAGATTACAGCAGCCGGCCGGTCAAGTGGGTAATGCTAGGGACAGCCGGGCAAGTACCTCAGCAAAGAAACCACCGGCCAAATCGTCAAGGTCAGGTGCCATCGCGTTGCAGCAACAGTACTTGCT